CCTTAAAGTGGGTGTGTTTTGCGTCTCTCTAAAATGATTTTTTTTGGTGAAATCACATCTTAAGATAAAGAGGGACTCACAATTCGACAATTCGTAGATGCTTGAAAATGTAGGACTTGCCTGTCTGGTAAAAATTTCTTACAGCTGAAGTAGATCCTAAATGCCGAGCATTAAAAAATATGTAGTTTGATCAATTTTTTAGATGCTCGAACTCAAAGACATCTTCTCGTGAAATCGCAGTTGTCAAAGTTCTCCTTTTGTTTATCTGTTAAAACGATTTTATAGAATTCTATCAACATCCTCAAATCTGCAAGTTCCAGGTCCTTGTCCCTCTGAGCATTTCACGTGCCGTGACAATAACCCCACAGCAGAAGTCGGACGAAGACGACTATCCGCCACCACCACTACATCTGCGAAGGCCTACATCATCAGATAGAAGCGCTGAAGTAAGCATTTTGACCTTATACGGGTTAGAATAGCTCTTTGAGTAAACTATTTTGTTACCCTGACATTCCTTATGATTTCAAAAAGCACTGATTGAGAGTATAGTTTCTGAGATGCTTCTTCGTTACAGGACCTGATATCTCGATTCGAACAAGCTTCGCTAGATATACGAGCTCCACCTACATTCCACTACGAGGAGCGGGTACGTGACATTCAGTTTTATGTAACAGTTTGATAGCATTTATAGCAGTTTTTCACAGTTTTACGACCGCCTCGTGCAATTGCACCGGAATTGTTGGATTTTACGCGATTCTTTCTGATTTTTAGTTTCTTTATTGCAAGCGGGAAGAAGAGGACTTTGTTGCAATCTAGCTGGTTTTAAAGAAAAGACCCTCACTTTTCCAAAAATTGGAAAATATCTCAAAATTTTTCGAAGCTATTCTTCGGGACATGTTCCTTCTAGTGCACAGCTTTTATTCTTGTTACTCAGTTACTTTTCCACTTATCACGCGCCAAACTGATAATGCACCCGTGCTACAGTAATCCTTGGATACCGTAATAAAAAATGCGGATCTTTCCGAAAATCCGCGAACTCGTCCAGATTTAGCAGTGGTTTTTCCGCTCTCTAAGCCGCCACACTACATTTCTTCCATAAAATCGCAGCAGATCATCGTTGATCGCGCTACGATTGTCCGAGTTTAATCCCTTCTTCCATGAATGAGCATGTTGATCGGATCACGTAGAAATCGTCCATTCTTTGAGGACTTTGCTGCATATTTTGCAATATAGATCGCATTAGTGTCGTAAAACCTGCAATGGGAGGAAAAAATGGCCTTTTATAGAGATAGTGGGCTGAAAGACAAGCCCTTTGGGTTTTTTCTTCGCGGTTGTGAAGTTGTAAGAGGGTTTATATCGCGACTGTAATTTTTTTTGTACTATAAAAAGAAAAGCTAGTCTGTCATCAAATCACCCAGGAGAATATAGAATTTCTTCATTTCTCAAGTGTTGTACTCAGAAGAATAGTAATGTGCTTCATTTTTTATAAATTGCTGTCAATTTAATTTTTGCATTGCCTTTTAAATACTAAGAGTCCTACTTAGTGATGAAACATGTCCTAATCTACGAGAAAAATCGAAAATATGGTTGAACATGAACTTTGTCGCCTCATGAGCAGGTGTTCTAATTAACATATATCGTCGTCAACGATCTATCCGTTGTTCCTGCTGTTGCCGCTGTTGCTGCCGGTTTCGATTTCGCATGCTATCTCACCAGGCCATCGTCAAACACTATGGAACATTAATACTTTTTATTGTTCTACTTACATATCCTGCTATTCAAACGACTAGCGTCCATTCCTGATCCTAAATGGGAATTAATGTCTCAAAATTGGTAGGGTTACATTATTTTTTTTGTAATGTCACGTGTACAGATTCACTTTATGCTTGAGATAATAGTTTACATATTTTCTAAAAGATTTTGCCGCACACACATCTCGTATCTGGCAAATTTTTGAAGAAAATTAACAAGTTGACTTCTTACTTTTCGCTCAGAATCGACGGGTGCAAAATGCTAATGTGGTGAAGAACTTTAATGTTACTTTTCTTAATTCCGCCGAATATTGTGTATAATAATGAAAACGCTGATAAGATACCAAAAGTGAAAAATTCGAAGAATGAGACGTTGCGGCTTC